GCACATTGTGACAAACTGAAAACGTCAGGCCCAGTACAAGACAATCTCACCTTGCGAGATGCTTTTGTAAAAAAATAAGTAAATTATATGGCATTCAAATGATAAAAATTTCAATTGCTTTTTTTTCTTCTTTTTTTTTAATACAAAGCTAAAATTTCATGCAACATATATAAGAAAATTTCCTGCTAAGATATTTTGTTACAAATTTCCTAGCAAAGGTGCTGCCGGATATTTTTCAGCACTGCAGGGGATAGCGTTGGGCATAAATGAGTTAATCCATTAGTTATTTAATACCTGGCCATATTTGCTGAAATAATCTGTGTCAGAAACAACAGAGACACTTTTTACATGTTCTTTCAAAAACTCATCTGTGAACTCAGTAAAACATGTGTCACCATGGATAGTCTGAATTACGTCATAAAGAAATTCTTCCACTGCCTGTTTTACTAGTTGTTGTCGGACTGTGCTAGAAAATGCAATAAAACACAACACACTAAGGACCAGATACTGCAACAACTCACTTAGAAGCAAGATGAAGTGTCAGGCATTTTTACTATACTTTTACATACTATAATTGTTAACACACATTAACAGTAGTTCTAAGCTCTGCAAACTGCTATTAGAAAAGCAGAAAACGTATGGTCAAGCAGATTTTTTTGGGGTGGTGCTGGAATTCTCTAGGGGGGGGGGTGCTAGACACCACTACTGTAGGTGGGGTGCTCGCCCCCTACATCCCCAAGGCAGACCCCAAAACATTTTATGACAATCCTGAGGGGTGCAGCACCTAAGAATTTTAGCACACCCTCATTTTATTTTAATTGATACATCCAAAATATTGTTGAGAAGTGTCATACTCTACTAAGTGATGCACAATATCCATATCTGCATATCAGATAATTTATGGGTATATCAGTCCTAATGTCAAAATATATTGGTATCGGCATTTTTGTTGCATCCTTACAAATTTATGCAATATATTTTAAATTTAGAGTACATCTTTGATTACCATTTGATTGTAACACAACTTAATGACCTGAGTATTGATCAATATACATTCAACAATAGATGTTTATAGCATGCATGTATCCATGGACTTGTACTCTTGTAGTTTAATGATGGGTTTAAAAGTTAAAACCCATACTACACTAAAATAGAATACCGGTATGACGGTATCAACCAATATCGGCCCTTGACTATCGGTTAATTTCCATATCAGTACATCACTACCATACTCAGCAGTGTGTGTCTGCACATCAATAAATTACATATTACCTATATCCACATTGATTTATTTCGACATGAAATGAAGGTAGTTTTGGCATTGGAAGAGCGTCTGACAGCTCTTGTACTTGGTCCATAATAGTAAAACTACTCTTTTCTTTTCAAAACCTCGAAGAATTATTTCATTTCAACAGGCAAAAGAAAGTTCTTTTCGTACAAAACAAAACAGATTTAAAACTTCCACCATTTTTTTCAAATAGTTCTCAGTCTCCAAATATCGCTCGTACAGGTGCTTCCATATGCTAATTGCCGAATTTCGTTTTTCAAAATATTGGTTATACGGCAACAGCTGGGAAATTTGTTGCGCATGCGCCAGATTTCTATTGAAATTTGAAGATTTCCCCGAAGAAATATTAGGAGATGTTCGTTTGTATATTTTTGAATAGTTTTGTATAAAGATTAAACAGGCGTTTAATCTTTATACTTTTTTTGCTTGAAACAAAGACAAAGTAAAATGTACTCTACGTTTCCAGTGTATAGAATATCTCGTTTGAACAGAAATAGAACTTTATAATCTTGACACAAACAAGAAGACATTTGACACACTAAATCTGTAGTCATGCCTGAGGTATAAAAGCCAATCGTCGCGAGCTTATTAACAGCCTTGTCAAACGCAAAACAAGTACAAATTTGGGTTGAAACAGAAAGAAGTTCAATGTTAATACAACTAACATATATTCTATACAAATACGGGTGGTTTAAAATGTTTTCAATTGAATTTTCAAAGCTTTTATCTATCGCTATGATAATCAAACTGTGAAAATGCCGTAGTTTTGTTGACGCTTGCGAATGCAAAATAACTTCCCGTAAACAGAACATTTCTACACAAAACTCTCGCTTAGTCTTCTGATGCACTTGTACGTTCGGTTCTATACTAGTTAAACAAGGAAAATATTCAAGAAACACTGGTAAATTATCGTTGTCAAAAAACATTTCAGTGCTGAGGCAGTACAAGGTCTCAAGGGCAAGGTCAAGTTGTCGATTTCATTACATTTTACAGTACTTCGGAATGTTTTCGAACTTTTGCTTCATACAAGAGCAGTAAACGCACGCATTTCAAAGCGAAATTAGACGCAAAGGGGCAATTTTTCAACAAAATTCATTGTTAAATTATGTTTCCTATGTCACTTGGGAGCAAAAAAATATGATTTTAAATTTGGAGGAATCGGTAAATTTTTTTGCAATTTGGCCTGGTATTGCACCCTACCTATGTAATGACTGTGCTGTAAAAGTAATCAAATATACTATTTTGAATTTCCCTTCATTGAAAGGATCTACTATTGTGGACTAAACTAAATTTTAATCAGCATACAAGGCTGCAAACAACAGCCAAGAATTAGCTGGGTAGTTTGCAAACTTTAAAAATAATTGGACCTCAAACTTTGATCCCCAAAAGTAAACAAATGGCCAATACTGCGAACATAATCCATGTTTTGACCACTAGGGGCAATTTTTAGATGTAAAAAAACTAGTCTAAATTACATATCAAACAAAGGCAAAACAAAATTTGGTATTATTTTTTTGGAGGAAACGTCAAGGTTTTTTGCTATCCGCGCACGCTTCTACACCCCCTCCCCCAGGACCTTCTCTATCAGAAAACAGTTTTCTGCAGAACCTATGCTTTTTTATCGGGAAAATTTTTACTTTTCTCAAAAAAATACTTTAGAAACACGGAAACCTTAAATATTTAAATAATTCCCCTACCTTTTTGGGATTGCAAAAAGCAAAATTTGATTCATTATCACACTTTTTAAAATATATGTGACAAAGTTGCTTCGAAATCACTATCACGCAGTAGCATGTTTATTTACCCTCATCCTTTTAACCGAATAAAGTTTATCTTTTTGAAAAGCTATTTGTTTTATAGCTCTTGGTTAGCAGTTTACGTTCATGTCGATTTTGGCACCCATGAGGCCAACAAGTTATGGCAATCGGCGAATGAAAACTGATATTCGAAGAGCACAAAAGCCAACTCCTAGCTATGTAACTTTAGCGCCTGAATTTTGAATCAATCCACAATTAAATTTCTGGTAATGTAGATGCTTTCCATACTTGAGATGTTAGTGAAGTTTTTCCAACAATTTAATTTCCTTGATCGCCGTCTTAAAAATGCAAAATCATCAGTTGAAATTTCACTCGTGTTGTTTTTTCAAATTTTCGAATTTTTGTAAAATATCGCGTGCGCCAGCAATTTCTCTGCACAGCGACAACAAATTTCCCAGCTGTTCAAAGTGAAGGAAATTTGAAGGAAATAAATTTTGAAGGAAATGTGAAGGAAATTCTAGAAGAACGAAGGAAATTTGAAGGAAAAAGCAAAATATCGCCAAAATTGCTGATATTTAATAATAAAGCATAAAATAAATCTCAATCTGGTGTGCAAATCCGATCCGAAACCGATCCGAATCCGATCCGATTCGTTTGGATTTCGGAACCAAAATATTCATTTCGGATTGATAAAGTTGTTTCGTGTACGGATCGGACCTCGATATCCGAAATAAAATGAATTAATTATCCACGCATTATCGCAAGAATTAATCATAATTAATCGCAGTTGTCGCTGCATTATTTGTTTGATACTTCAGTTGGACGTCACTTTGTCAGCTTCTTGACATGTATTTCTTGCTTTAATACTTATTTGGTTTATAAATATTTCAACTGGAATGAGAAATTTATTTTATTAAAGAATTCTTCGGATCGGATTGGAATTCTTTATCTCGGATCGGATTAGACAATTTCGGATCAGATCGGATTTTAAACATTAGGCAATTGTCGGATTATAAACGTCCAATCCGATCCGATGCACACCTCTAGTAGAAAGTGTAGAATTTATATTTAATCATCTATAAAATTATCTAATGAATATGGTATAGCCTACTGGCCTAGCCTGCATAGCAGGCGTTTAGTGCGGGCGGGAGAAGAGAGGGCGAACATAAAGTCATATAATTGTGTTTAGACTTTCGAGCAACGATAAAATTGTACATTCAGACGATTGTTATGTTGAGAAAAGGCTATTTTGGAGAATATTCAACGTAATTTTATTAAAGTATTTAAAGGAAATTTGAAGGAAATTTCACAATTTTTTGAAGGAAATTTCGGTCAAAATAAGGATAAAAAAAGGATTTTTTGGTTTTTCAAAGTGGAAGCACTGAATTTTGCTAAAACTAAGGAATATTTTTCAAGAAACTAAGGAATTCATATAGAGTGGAAGTGTAAAGCCTAAAATTCTGCATCAGATTGCGATGTTTTGATGATTGCGACGATTTTTTGGCGATGTTTGTTTAGTTTCGGCATGGTTTTTGTCGAATTATTGTAGATATGCAAACGGCTGTTTTCCTCGCGGATGATTGTTTGGGTACATGTTCAATTTAGAGGCAAAATTACCCATACTTTTTGCTGATCTACGAAATTGGCGTAAAAGCACATGAATATTCCGATTTGTGACCTACACTCCACATGACACAGTGCCAAAACTTAATATAAGTTCCTCAGCAACTATAAAGCGGAATTGGCACCAAAGAAAGCCCTACGTTACAACCGATGACCATAAAACGTGAAAGCCTATGTACATGTCGTATGTACCAGCCGCTAGATAATGACATTTCATATTTATTATTTAGAATGTATTACTATTGTACTAACAAGATTAATATAAGTTTAAAATATCATACGAGTTATACGCTTACCTGCACGCAACGATTTTGACAATTACCAGCTTCGATTTCGCCAGAAACTAAATCAAGATTTGAACTTTGATCTGCATTAGCCGGGACTTGATTCTCGAGTAAGTCATCGCTTGGGCTGCTCATATTCAATTCGACTTCGAGTCAGTGTTAAGGCCCGAAATTCAGCACAAAAATTGTAAAATAATTTATCGCTCTGTTAAATTTGTCTTTAATATATAAATGCCGGTAGGAAGCGAACGATCGAGAGTTAAACTGACGGTGACCAGGTTGCTTTAAATACGTCAGTGGCGCGTCGGTTTTCCCCAAATGGTACTTTCCCGAAATCACCATAGGAATGATCATGATTTAATATGAATGCGATTTCCGAGTATCAGCATTTTATACAACGGGATATTGTGTCTAGGCATGAATCTCAATATTCGATTCATTATTGAATCGTATTTCGCAATATTCATGCCGTTCTCGCTATATGTTGCTATCCTTTCCGCTTTAAAGACTTTAAATTGTCACAAAGTGAGGTTAACAAATTCGAAGGAAGAAACATCTGGGTCAAAGCGCGGACCTAGATACCGTGGCCAAAGGAGGTTACATATAATAATATAAGGATTTATACAAGGCCAGTCGAAGGATCCAAAACATCCATGCAAGATAAAGTACTTACCAAACTTTGTGTTCAAAATTTGCTAAATCGAGAACAGTTTTTACCAAATTTCTCCCCACCCTCCGGATACCAGCAATTAAGTTGACTAATTAGCCGTTCTCACGGCCGATTTTCTCACCATTCAGTGAGGTACTGCCTCTCCCACGTTTGAGAGTCTCCGCACCAGGAAATGCGACTTTTTCGCATTATAGTTGTTTGTATAATGCCCATTAATGGTAAATTTACGTGAAAAGCGACTTTTAAATGTTGTAACTGTTGTTGAATTGTCTAGAATCTTTCACGAGGGCAGACAGTGCCCCAAAAATGGCGGATTTTGGGTATTTTTGGCGTTCGTGAGAAAGGCTAATTGACCAGGTTAGACTGAAAACAGACTGATTACCCACCAATTTCAATTCCTATATTAGCTAGTAGAGAGCTTCAGTTTTAGCATCTCTAGATCTATCACACAAGATATAACCATTCAAACACGAATTTTTACCAAAAAATACTGAATTATCACGGTATTAAATCTCAGAAAGTTTGTCAAACCGATAACTAAAAGAATTTCACCACCAATGTTTTTCCAAAATTGATAAAATTTTACTAAACACTGAATTTCTAACTCTAACCCTTTTGATGCGAATTCAGGAAAGCAAGAGGGATATTATTATTATTAATAGTAAATATCATTATTATTATTATTATCCTGAATTTTTTCCCGTTTTCATTGTATTTATGCATGCAGCCCACTATAAAACCCGGGGCTGCATGCTGCTGAGTTTTAAATTAAAACTGCAGTGAAATTATAAAATTAACGAAAATAATCACAAATTAGCGAAATATATTGTGAAATGTAGCTAATATTAAAACTCCACGTACCCGATTGTACTATCGGCGAACTGACGTATAGTGTTATAAAGTATACCTTATAAGGTTGGGCTGCCTATGATTTATGTTGCATATATATATATCTATGGTTGCATGTCTCAAATGACAGATAAGGAAGTACGATATAATGATTATATGTGTGGGAAATTGAACAAGTTCCTCAATTTTTTGCTATTAATGCCAATGTTCCTCAGAATCAAGGATTTCGAGATCCCACTTTTTTCCAGGTCTTCGAAAGTCGTTGAACTAAGTGTAGCCCGGAGCCTGCAAAGCACTGTAATAAATAAATAAGATGCTTAAACCGACTTCGCTTATCGCTTTAAGAATTACTTTTAGCTTTCAAAAGATTTACTTAAAAGTTAAAACCTGCAATCATGTCCAATGAAAACGCTTGAAATATATTTCTAGTGTGAAATCAACACCAAATCAGGGGGGGGGACCATTTAGGAAATTCATATAACTAATCACATGATCAAACAAAGTTCTCAAAATGGCTTCCGAAGCGATACCACCACCACCACCACCACCACCGCCGCTGTTAAACAACGATAATACCAATACAAGCACCCTTCCAAATGGTCCTTCAACTAGCCAGGTACAATCTTCAGATAATGGAGGGCAAACAACGTCTACAGATGGAACAAAATCGTGGGAGAGAGCTTGGTCAGTCGATGAAATGCGGAAAGGAGCTACGAACTGGTCGCTCGCGTCAGATGCTGGGGTAACTATTTTCATTATTAGAATTTGTAGAAAAGTATTTTATTCCTGTGGCTATAAGGCTTTTGATTTGTGCATTAATGTAGTTTATTGCACATGTTATAATATTCTTAAAAATAATATTTATGATTCGAAAATTCCTTCTGTAAACGACTCTGACACTGAGTCTGATACAGAGTTTAAAGAGACCAATAGTTCCAAAAGAAAGTGTTTATCAGGGTCGAAAGTGACTGTTCTAATTGGGTTGTTTAGAGATATAGTAAACATGACAACTTTTAATAGCATGCAGTATTTGTTAGCCATGTGTGTTTTAATTGTTTTAGTAGTTTTGATGATTTATATAAATTCAACACTGTATCAGCACAGTATCAGATTGCACAATAAATGGTCTTCAGAATTTATGAACAGGAGATGGACCACAGACCTCTCAACTTTCACACATTCGGTGTGAGTCTCACACAATTTGCTTCACTCTCACACTCTCACACCAGGTGCATTTAGTAAGTCTCACACATATAGCAGTTTCATAGTATTTTTTCAATAAATAAATATAATATTGTATTCTTAAATGCACATTATTAATAATTATACGGATTGTGAATCGAATATATAATCTCGTGTTATTGTTCCTGCTTATACGGCTCGACATTTTGGCTTTTGCCCGCAATTTGGATACAAAATAGTACGCATATGTAAATACAGCAGACAAAAGGCAGAATGAGTCAGAGCAGAATTCTATCTGTAAATTATCAATTATTAAAGCTTATTACTGTATGTCACAGAAATACAATTAATGTAACTAAAGTGCCTTGTCTTAAAGGAAGTTATGAAGCAATGACGTACAGTATTTCATTAAAAAACACCAACTCTCATAATGTACGAAATGCCATTTCAGACCCTTGGACTTTTACAAGGGTGTCATCCAGATCCCCAATCTCACTCTTAACTTCTCTGCAAAGTTGAGAGGTCTGGGACCATTCAGATGAAATGGCTAGAAAAGCAAAAAAGATTAAAATACAAATAAAGAAATACTGCCACTCGCCTATGACAACCAGAATATAGAAGCCGGACATATCCAGCACACAGGTGTGCATTTTTGCATGCAATGCTTTCTCAGCATTATTTGGTGTGCAAATTTATCCATGAATTTTCATATATATATTTTGGAATACAGTTTTCCTTGCTAAAGAAGTAAACGTACAACAATTGATTGATGTTATTGACCTGGATTGGTCATTCCAAAAAAATATCGATTCCATGTACCTCCCTCACATGGAATTGGAAGTTAACCCTCCTAGCCACTTTGTATATCCTAAATGATAATACTAAATCTGAATGCTACACAAATTTCACTACTTCAAAACCTACATGATTGAGCAGTTAGAATAATCAAATCAAGTGAATCGGCACATCTCCCTATAACATCAGAGTAATTCAGTTATATGATTGTTATTTAAAAGAGCATAGGTGTTAGATATATAGATATAGACGGACAGCGGTCATACGCACGGACATGCGCATTAGATACCCCTGTATGTAGATCGGCCATGCTTATGTATTATTCATATTTTGTTAAATGTATAATCTAAATGGGCATGTACTAAAAGGCGAAACGTCGAAACGAAACGACCGAAACGAAACGGCCGAAACCATCGAAACCACCGAAACGAAACGACCGAAACGAAACAACCGAAACGAAACGACCGAAACGAAACAACCGAAACGAAACGACCGAAACGAAACGGCCGAAAATGTAAATTACAGGAAAATTGAAAAATGCGGATACGGATGGACGGACGGGGGACAGGCGGATGGACGGGGGAGACAGGCCGATGGACGGGGGAAGAGGCGGATGGACGGGGGGGGACAGGTGGATGGACGAGGGAAGAGGGGGATGGAGGAGGGGGGACAGGCGGATGGACGGGGGAACAGGCGGCTTCATTTGACACGAAACTCAATTTTAAAATCAAATCCGCGTTTTGTTGAAAGGGATATATTAGGATATATTATAATAGACTATTATTAATCGTAATAAATTGTCCGCGAAAAGTTGATAAAATACATGAGGAAATGCGGGGTTTTTCAAACCTTCGTAACGCTTGATCGGATAAAACGCGGATATGCTGCAACTTTCATGCTTAATTTTCTCAGTCATCTGGGTATGTAGTAATCTAATTTTATGCAATGTAATGTGTTATATTTTCAAGGGCTTTTCAATGCAGTTACCGGTTTAAATATACCTAAAATTCCCGTTAAGAGATATGACAATTGCCGTACGGCCTACTTTTACGCAAACGAAAATTAGCTACAATTGCCACTTTCATGCTTAATTTTCTCTGTTATCCGGGCATGTAGTAATGTAATTTTATGCCAATGTAATGGGCTGATGAAATTTGCAGTCGTAATTTGCGTTTGCGTAAAAGTAGTCCGTACGGCAATTGTCATATCTCAACGGGAATTTGAGTTATATTTAAACCGATAACTGCATTGAAAAGCCCTTGAAAAATAGCACCTCACATTGGCATAAAATCACAGTACTACATGCCCAGATAACACTGAGAAAATTAAGCATGAAATTTGCAGTTCTAATTTGCGTTTGCGTAAAAGTAGGCCGTACGGCAATTGTCATATCTTAGCGGGAATTTGAGTTATATTTAAACCGATAACTGCATTGAAAAGCGCTTGAAAAAACAGCACATTACATTGCATAAAATTAGATTACTACATACCCAAATGACTGAGAATATTAAGCATGAAAGTTGCAGCATATCCGCGTTTTATCCTTATATCAAGCGTTACGAAGGTTCGAAAAACCCCGCATTTCCACATGTATTTTATCAACTTTTCGCGGACAATTTATTAAGATTAATAATAGTCTTTTATAATATATCCTAATATATCCCTTTCAACAAAACTCGGATTTGATTTTAAAATTGAGTTTCGTGTCAAATGAAGCCGTCCCCCCCCGTCCATCCGCCTGTCCCCTCCCCCGTCCATCCGCCTCTTCCCCCGTCCATCCGACTGTCCCCCCCCGTCCGTCCGTCTGTATCCGCATTTTTCAATTTTCCTGTAATTTACATTTTCGGCCGTTTCGTTTCGGTCGTTTCGGTCGTTTCGTTTCGGTTGTTTCGTTTCGGTCGTTTCGTTTCGGTCGTTTCGTTTCGGTGGTTTCGTTTCGGTGGTTTCGGCCGTTTCGTTTCGGTCGTTTCGTTTCGACGTTTCGCCTTTTAGTACATGCCCTGTGATTGGTTTGCTTCATCTGACTGTAGCAAAAATGCTAAATTTAGTAACTGTACCCACCGCTGACTGTAGCATTTTGACGTCAGACCCCCAGTTGACTGTAGCATTTTGACGTCATAAATCGCTATATTTAGACCACTTTTCTTGAACGCTTTTTGAATGATGTTCAATAAATTTAGGTGATTTCGCCTAAAAACGGGCGTTGTTTCGGGTAAAATCAGGTTAAGATGAGCGCGAAAAACGTAATTTTATATTCGTAGCTCACAAAACTGACATACGGAATGCTGCTGAATTTAATTTTTTGAAGATAGAGAAACTGGAAAACTTCTATAAAGAATTTTTACTATCACGACATTCAGTATTAAAAATATTTTTGCTGGAAAATCTGACTGTAGCATTTGCTACAGTTGCTATAGTCTGGATCCGCCCCTGGTGCCATAGGAAGCTTTTTGGAATTGTGGGGGAGGGGTGTGGGGGACTGAAATTCTCTGAATGATATTTTGTCCACACTTTGAGAGAAAATGTACTGTGAGGTGGTGTGTGGGGTGCATTGCATTGCCTTAGCTAGAAGGCTGCGTTCTCTGTTCTATTGTGGCCAAAACTGAAAAAATGTGATAAAATTAAATCATGTTAATTTACATAATCAACTTTAGCTTTGATTTTCACCAAGTGATCTTATAATATTGAAGACTATAATGTGTTGTGCACTTGTGTTTTATATCTGATAAAGCACACATACGCATGCTTTAAATAGTATTCAAGGCTGTGCGGGTTCATAAATTGGAGTGTTTTTACTTACAACAAGGCATACTCCCCTGGGACAATTTTGAAATTCAGAGCCTCTGAAATGCCATTTCATGCATTTTGGGGTGAGATTTTACAAAATTCCCAAGATTATAACATCATAAAATACACAAAAAGTGGTGTATTTTAAGACTTTGAACTATTTAATTTG